GAATTACTGAAATAAATCTACTTTTTCATGATATTCTAATTTTATGACCAGCACCTGTACATACTGGACCTTCTGAAGCCTCTCTGTCCATCCAGGACTTTGAGGTCTTCTAATCAAATGCTGCTGATGGTCCCTCGAACCCATTATAAAACCCGTGGAGACAAAGCTTTTCAAGTGGTGGCCCCGAGGCTCTGGAACACTCCCTCTGTCCCTTTGCTGCTCAGATTCTATTGACTCTTTTAAGAAACATCTTAAGACATTTTTATTTAGACAGGCTTTTAGTTAGTGTGCTTTTTGTTGTGTTTTAATTGTTGTTTTTATATCTGTGATCTGTTTTATTGTTTTTAATTATTTTTTGCTTTCTATGAAGCACTTTGTGAACTTTGTCTGTGAAAGGTGCTATAGAAATAAAGTTTACTTACTTACTTACTTACTTACTTACTTACTTAGAATAGTTTTTTCTGTAATACTTCATTATAGTTTTTTAAGACAAAGCTAATTGAAAGGGGCGCTAAGCAGAGTTACAACCAGAGATTACAAATAATTACTTTTTTCTTCTGCAGTTCGGCGCCCCCTCCAGCAGATGGCGCTCTAGGCGACCACCTAGTTCGCCTATGCCAAGAGCCGGCTCTGGATACAACCCTGAGAAGGCAGCTGGCTAACTTTAGCAAAACTACCCCGTTATCAGGGAAACTGTAAACATCCGGTAACCACCGGCAGAAAGGCTCCGAGCGGCTTCCTGTGATGATCYGATCASAGCTGAAACAGCCTTTAGGAGACCCGGTACCAAAACTGCCTGATAGAGAGGCAAAAACTGTACAACATACTCAAATTCCAACATTTTCTGTGCAGTACTTTGACTTTGGTGAACAAAAATTGCTCCTTAAGCACTTTCTGAGCTGATGAACGACGTCAGTGCCCACAACCACCCGTGGTTACAGTCCAACCTCTCCAGATGGCAGTAATCTGTGGGCACAGATTGTCAAAACCATGTGCACAGTTTAGTAATCCGTGTGCACGGATTACTAAACTGTGCATTTGGATTTCCAGCAGTGTTTTACTATTTTATTTTATTTTGTTTTCTCCCACTGACCCCTGGCG